AACCCCCCCACCGTCTGTGGACGTATTCCCCAAGAACTGGCCCATGGCTGCTCCATCAGGCTAGCACTTTGGGTTGTACGTACTATGTCATGTTATTATGCTAGGTTTGCACGTAGTACGTCATATGAATATATCATGTTTGTACGTAATATTTTGATATTAAGTCAGGATTGCATGCTATATTTAATGTCATGTTATTATGCCAGGATTGTACAATGTAATATCACATCAAGTTTTCGAAAGAGCCCCTATAGGACTACCTCTCATCTTCGGCGCTAATTTGACCTATTTGTGTTGCAAGTGCCGTATAACTTTAACTAAAACTAAACTAAACTACTACGACAACAACAACAACCACAACAACAACAACAACAACAACAACAACAACAACAACAACAACAACAACTTAAGAAAGGCGGTGGCCTTGGCGAAGAGCACCCGGACTCCAAACAATTCGGAAGGAAAAAGTACCACACACACACACACACACACACACACACACACACACACACACAACAACAACAACAACAACAACAACAACATCAGCAACAGAACAGCAACAAAACAAAAATAAACACACCCTCCTCTCTCCCCTCTTCCCAGCCAGGACCTAGCTCTCGAAACAGCCAGAAAACCCAGGAATCTGTGTCTAGATCCAGGTGAGATTAAGCGAGGATCGTCGCGAGGATCGTCATCATCATCATCCTCATCATCATCATCATCATCATCATCATCATCATCATCATCATCATCATCATCATCATCATCATTATTATTATTATTATTATTATTACTAGCTTGGCCCCCTTTCGTTCAAAGGAATGATTGGTGCAGTAACATCAACTGAAAGTCATTGGACTACTATATTTACACTGGATTGGAATGGAGCAGTAAATCTTGAGAGAGATGTGACACACGTGTTTCCATGAATCCAAGTATAAAATAAACGTATAGATTGATTCTCTATTCCACTTTCGTGGTTGTACACTCCAGAATTTCAAAGGCGTAGCATCAATGCGCTCGGCCAGTGAACGGAAACCTCACGTGTTTACAATGGCGTCTTAGAAGACGGACTTTCCCAAGATTAGAACTCTGTGTGGACGAAACAAAGCATTTTGGAAAAATCGGGGAAAGCAGTTTGCGTGGATTTTTGAAAGTTAGGTCCTAGCCACATGGATTCTATGGGTGCCTGCAAAGTTTCAAAGGTGTGGGTTAGGTAATAAGGGAGGAGTTTATGCACAAAGCCTCCCAAGTCCACTTATATATATAATAGATAATACGATTATTATTACGAAGTGACTATTTATCCGAACGTTCGGAGAAATAGTGCCAATCTTTATTTCTCCGAACGGTTTCCGGCTTCCGGTCTCGTGATTTTTTTGCCTAATTATTGCGAGAGTTTGGCGCCAACTTTCATTCTGCCTCTGGTCTGGGAAGGAACACCGCATGGCAAGCCCGCCTACAGACAACCGTCAGTAACACCTACCACACACCCACTACCATCATGCACATGTACACACACAACGGATGACGAGCTGAGCTGTGGATGGAGAGACAGTATGAGTGACAGAGCAGGTCAAAGGAAGAATATACGAGTGTATCCATAGGCGTCAGCAACTACAAGACGACGACACCGACCCCCCTGGCCTGGTCCACAGCTCACGAACGAAAGGCGTGCGGTTAAGGCAGTGTTTTGTCTATATTATTGTCAATGGTTCGCAGGGTGCAAGGGATCGAATGAGTCAGATTTTCTTTGTGTGTGCCTGGAGGGAGGGGGTGGGGTGTGAAATTCATGCGGACAGGGATGAGCCGCGGGAGAGAACACGGGAATTGAAAGAATGAGTGAAACTGAAAGAGAGGAACGACTCATGAGCCGTGGAGTGAGTTGATCCTGTGTTTCTATTTTTGTATACTTTGAACTGTTGAAGGCTGAAATAAAGCCCGAAAAACAAACACACACACGCTCCTCACTCTCCACTTACATACTTACTACCACACACAGACACACTCACACACTCACATGCATACACACATACACACACAGGAGCAAATATTTAGGTCTATGTCTATTTCAATTTTCAAGAGCTAATCTAGAGATTGTTAGATGAGTGTAAAAAACGCGAAAAAGAAAGGTTTCACAACAGAATGAAATAAAAAATAGAACAGCCCATAAACAAACGCAAAAATTAACAAATAAGGGCGTGAGTCCACCTGTCTGAAGAAGATTGGCTGTTTGAACCCTAAATGTGCGTAATTTTAAAACAAAGTACATGATGTTACATGTAAATTATGGAATCACACACATTATTAAGGGGCCTGCCAGTGTCAGTACATGTAATGGGTGGTTTTGGTGGAACGTACGCTCTAACATAACACATTTAAATCTATATATAATATATACATGTATATATATTTAGAATCTAATGAAGGTAGGAACATCAAATTAAATGACGTGTTACACTATACAACACCCCCCCCCTTTCCCCCCAAAAAAATTGATAGAAAAACAACACATCAGAACAATAACAAGAAAGAAAAAAATACAAACTAACAAAATAAAACACCACAAAGAGGGAAAAATAAAAGTAACTGTAACGTATTCAACAAAGGGTCCCTTCAACAAATCAACGTGGTGACAACAAGTGAGAAAGAGACGAAGTGAAGCTAGGTGAACTTTCTTTCAAAGTAAAGAGGTTCGGTTTCTTTCTTTCTTTAAAAAAAAAATTTGACTTTTACTTTT